CGACATTGCATGCGACGCAAAGAGCACTTACTCGGGTGGGAAATGGCAAGTGTACTGGTGCTGATGCTGATGGGATCCCACCTGACGTATTGAAGCACGGTAGACTCGCGTTGGTGAATGCGCTGCACCAGTTGGTGCAACGCGTGTAGATTAGAGAGGAGATGCTGGCTGATTTAAATGATCGTTCAATAATACCATTGTAAAATGAACAAGGAACCAAGCAATGCGCCACGAATTATCCTGGTATGAACTTGCTGAGCTGTGTGGTAAAAGTGATCGCCCGAATCATGCTCAACCGCCTCGTCACTCAGATCGTCAAACCAAACGTGGCAGAAAGCACTGTGGACTTCGTTCGGGTCGCAGCATTCAGGTCCTCAAGTGGTGAGCAACCCACTATCAATGCGCTATTCCACCTGGACACCGTAATCACAAGCAGTGTCAAATGCATGAGGCACCGATGGATGAAGGTAAATAATAAACTGGACAGGGGCTAAGCTACAGACTTGCTTCACACCAGAGGCAACAGCAAAGTCATCCGAGGTTTGTTCACACAGCTGCACCCTCGTCCGCGTACCATTGCGCAGACATTCAAGTAATATGGCAAACGGAATCAGACAACCAAAGTTACCCAACACCAGCCTCGCGGTTCACCGTATCAAATGCCTTGGTGAAGTACGATGGTTGGGAGCGTTTTCCGCATTTCTCCTTCAGCTGACGAGCCGCGAACACCATATGTATGGTGCTGCGGCCCGAACGGAATCCACACTGTTCTTCCGCCACGCTTTGTTCATCGAGTTGAGTGACGAGGCGGCTGAGGGGGATTCGGGCGATCACCTTCCCCACACAACTCAGCAAGCTCATTACACGATACTTGGTGGCACAGTGCTTCCTCCTTTTGCCACTGTACAGTGGTTGCACAGAGTCATCATTAAAGTCAGCCGGCACTGACTTTTAAACCCACACGCGTTGCACCAGGTGGTGCAGCGCATCTATTAACGCATTTCCTCAGTGTTTCCTCATTTCTGGGGATGTCTCCTCAGCTCCGGCGTACTCGCCGTGGACCCTTAAATATCACAAACCTGCTTTGTAACATGTTGGCGCGCTGGTTCGAGCCTGCGTAAAGACCGCGGTACCCTCGCAGTGTCCTTAGCTAGCCTGCGACTGCTGGTGGTTGCACAGCAGCGAAACGTTTTTACTGCGTATCGGCGCATTGCTGATGCTCCCCAGGTGAGCAACTTCTCCCATCCACTGTCGGTGTATCGGCAAGATACATCTACATCTCTTAGTCACTGCAGGCCCTCTTTTGGGTTTCGCCAAAGCGTAGAGCAGACCGGACTACCATACCGAATCTCATTTGTGGCCGTTGTGTACTACGAATGAGGACACATGATGTGAACCCCAATACTCAACAACGAACTTCAAAATGCTTTATCAAGCACCGTTGTGGAACTCTGGTCTAGTGATCGAGACGAAAGACGTTAGCTCAAGCTATCTCTATGTGACGAGTCCCAATCATGATGAAACCAATCGGTCGTTGAGTGCAATGTTGGGATAGAGTAGCTTCAAAACTCCACTTCAGCTGCGGTCCCAGTGATCGAGATTAAACAGGTTTGCTTCAAAGCAAACTGTGACCTCAAATGTGATTGCAGTCGCTGTCCGATTACATAATGGGCGCAGTTACCGTTGGAGAGGCTGCGTCCAAAGCTGCCGCTTGAATTGGAACACGAGCGTTTACTCCGATCACGCACTCGTATGTGCCGACCTGCCGGTACGGCTTGGCGGATGTCTACGAGGCTATGAGCTCATGGATACTTGCCAACTGGCGAAGTTAGGTGTTCTGGATGCATATCAAAGTACGCTGGCATCCGGACTGACTAAGCACCCAATGAACACCGTTGAAGTTCATTGCTCGCATATCCGCCAGAAGTTATTAGTAGCAGACATATTTTAACGTGTCGCATCAAATCAACAACCTTTACTTTGTGTCTCTACGCTCGCGGACACATTCCCGCTGTAAACGAAGACAAGAAGACTCGCAAAAGCCTCAGGGCGAAACTGCGTGCTAGCCTGTAGAGAGACCGCGAGGTCTGGTGGTCTTATCGTGCATTGGAAGTGGAGACAGCTGCTGTCCTTGATAACCATCCCTTGTTATTCAGTTTGATATGCGAACTGGGCAACAGGAGACCGGGTATTACCGAAACTATATGCAACGAGAGTGGACATCCGATCCACAGCTTGTAAAAACGCTTGAGGCGCTTGGCCGAACATTTTGAGAAGTAGTTTAATCAGCCAGAATTGTCGTCTTCCTTATCGGCCAATGGTCGCCCTGCTCCTTGGACTGTCCCCTTGGATCCGATCTCCCGCGCAGAAGTCGAACGTGAGATGACACTGTTGAATTTGAACAAGACCGCTGGAGCAGATAGACTTTCTCTAGCCTTTTTCAAATTCGAGGAATTTGCTCTCATAGATCAATTGCGCCACACACTTGTGAAGCTGTGGTAACAGGAGACTGCCAGCAGACTGGAACCGCATCTGTATAGTCCCAATTTTAAAAGAAGGCTCCCGTCCGAATAACAGCAGTCACATAAGGATCATTCTGATCTCAATCGCCTCTAAGTTGCTTGCCTCTGTCGTGCTCCATTGACTGATTGACATTTAAAAGTCAGATTCGCGAGAAGCAATCCGGATTTCGCCGAAATCGAGACTGTATTGATTGCATCTTCACCACCAACACCTCAAAGTTTATTAGCGATCCACCTTGGTCGTGTTCCATGATATCAAAAGTGCCTTTGACTCGGTGGATCGGTGTGCCTTTTGGGGCTTTCTGTTCAGGAAAGGTGTGCCCGAAAAATGCATTTACATTATCAGAGCACTTTAGGTGCGCAGTTCGAGTATAGCGAGGGCCTACGACAAACTGTCGCTGCCCTTTAATATCTCTATCAGTCTGAGACCAGGTTGCCCGTTGTTACCTTTCCCTTTTAACTTCCCCATCGTCTTAGTCGTAAAAACATCGTTCCCTGGACACCACCTGCAAGTTGTGGAACTGCTTCCTGGTAAGCTATTTTTGACTTAATGTATGCCGACGACATTGGCCTAATCTGTGACAGCTACCAAGAGAGCCAAGTGACACTGAACAAATTAGCACTGGATATCAGCCGTTTCGGACCGTACTTTGCATCCTCGAAATTCAAAACCCTTCTCCAAGATTGGCATGGACCCAACCGTGCGCTGACCCTTGGTGGGGATCAGATAGAAGTCGTCCAGAAATTCAAGTGCCTTGGCACCTTTATTAGCGCCGGTGGAACAGAATATAAGATTTCAAATCGAATAGCAAAAGCCTGAGGTACTTTTGCCAATCTCCGCCATCTGTGGTCTCAGCGCGACATCATTCTCGCCCTGAATGGTGGAGTTTACAGTGCAGCCATGCATTCAATCTTCCTGTACGGTTGCGAAACCTGGCCCATCGGGTCAACTATCGCTGCGTTCGTTGTTTTACTCATGTCTGGTGGGGGGCGCCACATGAGTAATGAGCGTGTTCGACGTCGCGTATTTAATGCAAGAATAACGAGTGAACCGCTCATCACCCTTATATTACGCACGAGGCTGCGATGTCTGAGCCACGTGTTGCGCATGCCAGCACTCCGACTCCCGCGAACTGCGTTGTTTGCACTTCGGGGGTACGGTTGGAAGGGGAGGCCAAACGATGACTTGGTCGAGGAGAATGAAAACTATCACTTCGGAATTGGCGTCTGTGACTACCGAGCTGTAGTCCGAAGGACGATGAACATGTTTGCTTAGATACACTGGTTGACATGGCGAAGAGCCGACCTCAATGGCATTTATGTTGTGAGTCGCGTTGTCCCTCCAGCAACGACCTCATACCCACGTGTAATATATGATACTTAGCATTATATTACTTCCATATTAGTCTTGTATTCTTTAATCCCCCACTATACGTCTTATTGTTGTTTTGTGTCACCGTTTGCTGAAGTGTTTCTCACATTCAGCTAATGTGTGATAATGATGAATACTGAATACTATGAATATGCAGCGAGTAGAGATTTCTGTGTAGCTAAATCCAATATATTTTAAGCAGATCTACCTATTTTGAGGATGATTCTTCTCGAAATCTTCAGTCGGCAAAGTGTGATTCCAGGAGTTTCTTAAACTCCGACACCGATTTTGCTTCGACTGTGTCTGCAGGTAGATTGTTCTAACTATTCACCTCCCTCCGTTCAAAGCAGAGTTGGCGAGCGACCCGCTTCAAATCCGGTACGACAAGTTTGTACCGGTGTCCTCCTGTGCTGTTTGGTATGCGCAGATGCAGCAGCGGTCCCAACATGGGGTATTCACCCAGATGTAATATCCGGTGCGTCATGATGAGGTCAACCCGCATTCGACGGTAAGCTAGGGTGTAAAGCCCTAGTTTCTTACACCGGTCTTCATAGGACACACCTCGTAAACCGGGAATGAGCCTTGTGGCAACATGCTGTATTCGCTCAATAATAATGATGGTGATGAGGAGGATGAGGATGCAGAACGATATGATGGATGCTCAGAAACTGTGCAATCTATCTCGTTTTGTTTTTGGCTTTAGATAACTGATACCATTGGCATACCTACTTATTAACAATTCTCGGTACCAACTCAATCGGATCTCGTTTTTGGATAGCATTGTAAGCAATTGAATGGGCGGACGTGTGCAGTTGTCTAGATTTGCAACTTTTCAACATCGGTTCCTATGGGTTCTTTGTAAATCTAAAGTGTTTGTTGATTCCGGTCATTTTTTGATGTACTATGATCGGCGATAATGCTGATAAGTAGGCATTGCTCAGATGGCAACTCTTCCTGCCTCTGATGTAATATCTGTTTATTTAGATATCCCCACCTTTCTTAGTTTGCCATTTGGATCTGCTTAAGTGTCCTTATGTGTATCCTCAACTGTTGGTTCCGTACTTCCCGGCTCTTGATGATGGGTTTTTTCATTATGTCTATCTTAGAACATTGCGGGTGAGCCGAATGAGGATGACCGCCTGGAATCGGAAGCCCTGACAAAGGACACGCTTTTTGCTTGGGCTCCTGCACATGGTGATTGTCAAGTGATGTGCTTCCATCCGGATTCGAGCAAGACACTCGCTTTGATGGAGGCTGCGGAGGTGGTGCGGGTAATCGACGCTTGGTGTGATATTACAGAGAAGTACCGAGCGAAAGGCTGTTACCGTTGGCTGCAAATATTCGAAAATCGTGGTGCCGCCTCGGGGTGTTCCAACACGCATCCTCATTGTCAAGTGAGTGCGGTTATGGTGCGCTTTTTTGCTAGTTTTCGCCGTTATCACTCCACGAACTTACTCGTGCGGTTTACAGGCAACACGTCACTTGATTCATTCGTTGCTTGTTTGGCGGGACAACTCCGTTTTGCTTCCCGGTGTATGCTCCTCTTCCTCCAGATCCTCATGTGTAGTGCATTCAATACCCCGATCTTTGTTCAGTTTCACGTTAAAGCACTCTGTCTCATTGACACGCGCAATGTCGGTTCTTCGGAGTGGGTCTAATGCTTTCATGCTAGCTTCACTTGTCATCATGTTATCTGTTTACACTGAATGGCATCGCTCTTATGAGCTAGCAAGTAATTCTGTCATGAAATGATTCACCGTTCATTGCCACACATGTCGCAAACATGTGGATGACAAGGTTGACCAGCAGAGCTACTACCTACTTCACGAAACCAACCTTATTGGACTGCTCAGTAGACTTACTCTACTGCGGCTTCATGAATGTCGCGGATTGCAGCTGCCCAAGCGCAGCGGTCGGCGGCAAACTCCACGCAGATGCTGATCCAATGATTCTTCCAGTGACGAGCACCATGCATAACCTGGAGATCGACATCCGATTTCACGGCAATGAGCCACGTTTTCAATCGTCCACCACGTCGTCAACACCAACCCAGGCAACCTGAGAGTGAAACCACAGTCCTAGAAGAAAAAGTGTATATTCTCGTCTGCGAGAGACTGAACCCGAGAGGGCCAGATCAAAATGTACAGAAGCGTCATGCTCATGCATGTGGTTTTCAGGTGTTATTTGTCAGGTGTTTTGTAACTGTGGCATTCCAAAGGGCAGATGACAGCGCCCGCAATCTGAGTGCTAGGTTGCAGTTTGTCTCCTGTGTGAGTTTGCGTTTTCCAGCCACGATCCAGCTTACAGAAGCACGTTTTACTTTTCATCCTCCAGATGGCCAAATCAGCCAGGCCAATCTCCCGATAAATGTGTAAATAAAGCAGGGGGATTCAGATAAAGGGGGAAAAAAGAACAAATGAAGGCAGTAGCAAAGGGCGAAAAATCCTATGACTAGACACCAATTTTTATATGTCATGCGGAACATAATGCAACTAGATAAAGCAATTTTTAAGCGTGAACAAAATACTCAGTATGCCATTCATTTCTTAAATCAGTGGGTGACCTTGAAGGGTGACCGAACGAATTGGACTACCAGCCTAAAGAGCTTTCTAGGGCAAAAATGGGGAACATCTAAAACCAAATAAGCCAAGCGCTACCAACAGCCGGAGTTTTACCTTATACTGGCAAAAATAAATGCGATATCCACAACAGTTGGAAAGTTACGAAAAACTGCGAATAACGCCCTACGTTAATTTTCGTTACAATTGCGGTTTTTCTTACCAAGCAAACCACGAGAAGGAGAAAGAAAAACATGCAAAACAATTCGGGTAGATAGATTCTAGGTAACAATACGCATCTAATAAGCCGGGGCACAACAAAGAACTAGCGATGTTAGCGACATGTGACCTGGAAGACCGAAAAATCTGGGTTTTTCTTGCTTAATTAATTGAAAATAAACAAAAATAACGCGTGTAACTTCACGATCATGCTAAACGATCCATGCGGGACCTTACGTAGACGCAGTATCTGTGAACTCGCCTCAATTAGTCCATGTTAAGATGAGTCCCTCGAGCATTCTTTTGAGGATACTGGGACTTAGCGAAATGCAATGAGGGAAAACTTTACTTCTCCTGTACCTTCAAGTGGTCGAGAGTATAGTTCTGGGCACCATAAGCCTTGACCACATAGAGACAGCAGGCCAGCTCAGTATTCATTTGGCCAACCTGACCTCATCTGCATGCAATTCATGTGGTGGAGACTGCAAAAGCTACCACTGGTTTTACGTTCTAGAAAACAAATGGCTTCGGTCCACTTTACAAGGCTTAGACCAACAAATGTAATTAGATAAGCAGAGGAAAGATATTAAGCAGCCTGTAGTACCGATAATTTCGCTGAGACCGTTAAGCGGGTCCTTGACGACCATGGCTCTAAGATCTTAGGATTGAATTAGGTGAGCATATAGCTTTTCCTCGTATTTGAGTACACTAAGCGTCCACCATTATACCATTTTCGAGGCTCCCCTTTACTGTTTTATAGGTCTGATGTAGGCGGGTCATTATCTAGCAGTGAAGGTTCGGCTAACGTAAGCTCGAGTGTATCGTGCGGAAGCGCTTTTGTGGTTTTGCTGGTTCTGGCTGTTCCACTGCGCCAGGCATAGTGAATGAATAATATTATAAGTTAAGAAGAGCAAGATGTCTTAAAATGTAGGAGCTGGTTATCCACCCACCACTGCGCATGTGTTTCATCTGCTCATAGTGGGCATCGGAGCCAAGTAAAAGATACTTTTTGTATTGATGGTCAAGATAAGATGAAGTGATGATCAAAATATCCTGGATGTCTAGATTTCCGACATGACAGTGGCACTCTGACACATGGCAAGCTTTCAAGCCAGTCACCAGAATATGAAATGGTAAAGATGTAAGAATGACCGAAAAATGGGATCTGGTTTTTCGTGCTGCCCGTCAGCCAATGTTTCCAATAGCGAGCATTTAACTCAGCTAAAAGCTAAGCGGAATGGGACCATGTCAAGAGAAGGTGGGTTCACAAAAGCCTGGGTCTCCAACTATTTCTGCCAGTGGACCGCTGACTATCCGGTTAAGATACTTCGCTTATTATCGAGCAAATAAAGCAAACCGGATCTAAACAAAGGGAGGGGAGTAATAACAGCATTGAGTTCCTAGGGCTATGCAAGCTCCGGCATTTACGCGTAGTTTGGGAGCTAGCCACGGGGAAACTTGGTATGCGTCTGCGAGTATGATTAGATAGGCGTGGGAATGAGAAGTTAAGATAAAAGTAGTATAAGGTTACTGAATAAAGCATAGAAGAAGGTTAGCATTTCCCGGTAACAACGCCGTCTTGGGATCGACTTTCACTAAGGCTTACATCTACTGAGATGCAACAATAAGCGAATTTCTTGAACGATATATAAAAGGAGAGATAAAAGAGTAGAGTTGAGGTGGGTAACTACGACGGGTTCGGGTGGTCTCAGGCTGTCAATGCGAATGGGATTACCAGTGCAGGCCGCTAGCCTGATGAGCTCGGAAAAAGTACGATCTAAAAATAATGTATAGGACAAGTTCCAATCTGTGATGCAATTCCGGACTTCGGGTCTACAATCCACCTAACATTCTACTTAAGCATTGGTACGAGTCGACCTGTATGAGAAGTAAAAAATGAGGTCAAGCTACCAGAAGGACTAGAGGTGAGAATATGGTTCTGGCTCTACAGGAAGGTAACTCGGTAGACAGTAATAACAGAATTCGAGTTGTGGGAAAGAATGAAGTTAAAACGTAACTCAGAGCAGGCATTCCTGTAAAATAGAAGCGTGGCGGTGCCCGGTCCGGGAAGAGATGAGAGCCACCCATCTTCTTATACTCGACCAGAATATCATGAGGTTGATATGCACGCTGGCACTACACTACTAAGCGGTCTAGGTGACCAAATATAGAAGGGCCAAGCTGAGAATACTAGGCGTTAAAGGAAGTATGGGGCAGCTGTGTAGAGATTGTTCATGTGTCTAGTTAACCACAGGCACACGGCAGCCCTCCAAGCAAACTAAAAGTAGGAGAATAGGAAAGGTTTGGTATGATGTGGAACCACCCATACACACGAGGTCACCTATACTGTAGTAGTGCTGTTGGTGTTTCGGCTTTTGTGCTGAATCAGAGAACTATAGGGCTCAGTTGCATAAGCTGCGGGCTAGTTGGCACAAGCCACTAGCAGTCATGGGTTCGATCCTCCGTAGAGGACCGAAGGATGCGCACCACTGTCGAGTCCCAATAGGGCGAAACGGCCGTCTGGTGCTTTTCCGGATAGGTAGTTGACTTATCTAAATTGTCGGCTGACTGCGACGAACAAAAATACTCGCCAAAATCCTTCTACTCATAAGTACTATAGGGAAGTATCGAATAAAGCGGTCCAAGACTGGAGTTTAGGAGATTCATAAGACGGACTACGAGGACTGTAAGAAGACTGAAGTAACAATGGCTTGCGGCGACCATGTGTACAGCTTTAGAGTAGGAGAGAGAGAAGTAGTTTGGCAAGCATGGCAGCCGCCTATCTGCACCTGGTCACCTATTCTACAGCTCCGTTTGCGCCTTGGCTTTGTTAGTGATGTAGGACGATAAGGTGAGGGTAATTTATGAATTGCGGTTTATCGCGAATGTCGCAGGATTGGAAGTGATATGGGATATCAATGGCATAGTAACTTGCTACTGGCATAAGACTGTCATGCTGTCAAGCGGACAGCAATAGAGTGAGGACATTTGAGGTGGAGTCAACGCGTTAGTAACCCGCCAAGCCGTTTTCAAATGCCATTTCTTCCGACTTGGTTTGTCCCAGAAGGCCAATGGTATTTTTAACGGTAAGGCATATATCTCTACGGAAGACTTCGGGTAACTTGCACTCTCGCAGCTTGGTTGGTAACCGGTTCCACAGGTAGAAACTTTTGAGGGCTTGGGTTCTAGGTTTTACGAGTAATGTATGCCAGACATTTCTTGAATTAGGAGCCTGGACTCGTTTATGTATTATATCGTATAGGAGGAGGTTAAGTTTTATTCTTCTCAGCCATACCGGGTCGAGGCGCAAAGCCTTGCTGCGTTATTCGTATGACAACTGCTAAGTTGAGCCCAGTAGGCGCTTAGTGAATCACCGTTGCAGCCTTTCCAATTGCTGGCGATCACTTTTCCTTGCGCTGCTGTAGATCAGCATGCAATACTCAAGCAGTGGTCGCTTTGTTAGTGTGTATAGAGGAACTATCGCTTCCTGCGTCGTAAGTGTTTTGAATAGTAAGCCCATGCGACGGCGGGCTTTAGCTACCGCACTTGTGGTGTGCTCCGCAAAGTTTAACGAGCCAGGGTAGTGCAGGCCTGTCTTTTATGTCTGATCTGCAGAG